ACAGAAAACTTGCTCTAACACTCCTTCACTAGCACAGGTGTGACTTGCCACTAGAGCAGGGGTCAGCAACCCCCAGCACGTGTGCCGAGCATGGCATGCGAGGCCATTTTACTCAGCACGCCACCGCTGGCCTGGGCTCTAGGCAGCTGCTGCCAGCCACAAAGTCTGGGCTGCTCCCAGCAGGCGGCTGGGTGGCTGCAAGCCCTGCTGCTAGCAGACCAGGCTCCATGGTTGGCAGCAACTACCCAGAGCCTGGGCCGGTTGCAGCCAGGAGGCTACAAACATCTGCTCCAGGGTCTGGCATTAGCTCCATACCGATGGGTATGTGGCGGGTGCAGAGATCCCACCTCAGGAACACAGCTGGGTATTCGTACCCCTCCACTGTTTCCACCACGTGAGGCGGGCCAGTAGGGGGCGCTCCTGCGTCGAGCCGCCCACCTCCCTGCGCCTGACCACCTTCCAGGCTCCGAATGCCTCCCTAGGGGCGCCTTATGTCCGGCCGACCCCTCTCCCGGAGCACACTCGCTAGTCTGGGGGTAACGTGCCGCCACCACCCCAAGAATGGACTGTCTCGCGGCCCTGTGTCCTTGGGGTAACACAGGCCTAAAGTCCCACGGGTACTCGACCCAATACAGGCACTTGGGGTACTTCCCCAAGTCCGGGGGCAAAAAGGTATAGTCTCCCTTAGTCCACAGACCTAAGGGGTCTCTTAGGCATAATTTAGACCCACCCCTCAATAAGTCTCCCACACCAGTCAAAAAGGAGAACTTTATTGATTACAGGGGGTAGGGTAAACTAGGGTACAGGATAGAGCAATATCTAGAAATCCTAAAGAGCAAACAGTCTGGCTGTGGTAGCCTTTTGATTACGCATCTGTGATACTTCCAGCTAAATATCTAATCAGATTGAGTAGCTTACTCACAAGCATCTTCCAAAGGCAGGTGAAGTTTCCCTTTGGAGGCAGGCGGTTCCTAGCTCGTGAGTTTGGGGGGAGAGAGCCAGTTTCAGATGTTAAGGCTTCTCTGTCCCCTGCCTGGCTGCTGCGTCACCTCATGGCCGGAGAGGAGAGACCGCCTCCTTCCCCGTCCTAACTTATATAGCCCCTGTGACCTCATTCACCTGGGCCAGCGGAGGTCAGCCCCAGTTGGCTGTCAGCCAACCAATTTGAAATGCATCACCTGTTACCGGGCAGATTCCAGCTCCCCAGGTAGATGCCCCTCACCCAGGTACCAGTCACGTAGGCAGAGGGAGCAGGTTTCCCCCCTCCCTCAGGAATGCAGCCAGCTCAAGTTCCCTAAAGAGACAGGCTGAGGGTGTGGTCCCCTGTGTGCTGGGCCCATCCTAATTGAATGGTCACAGCACAGAGATTTAAATCACAGTGTCACAGGGCAGAGATTTTTGGGGAGAAACCAAGGTGGCATTCTGCCACAGGGTACACACGTGTGTCTCAGAGCAGACGGTGGGGGAGAGGCATGAGGCAGCACAACCCCGGCCTCTCTCCTGCTGCTGGCACAGAGCTAATGGTGGGGCTCCGGAGCCCAGCACAGCTGTTTGTAGCCAACCTGGGCTCTGGGCAGCTGCAGCAAGCAGCAGGAAGGCTGCAAACAGATGCGCCGGGCTCCACAGCCATGGCATCAGCTCCATGCTGGCAGCAACTGCACATGCACCTCAGAGCGGACAGTGGGAGGGCTGTGCTGCCTCAGGCCCTAACCCCACCATGTGCTCCAAGGCATGCATGCACCTGCCAGTATGGAGCTGATGCCGGAGTCTGGAGCCGCTGTTTGCAGCCTCTCAGCTGCAGCTGGCCCAGGCTCTGGTAGCTCTTGCAGCTGAGCCTGCCTGACTCCCACCTGCTCCGAGCCCAGCCCCCCAACTGGGGAAGCACAAGGGCTCTGGTGTGACCAGGGCATTGTTGGGTCGGACTTTGTTCAGTGGCCCAGGAGCCCAGCTCCATGCTTCCATGCATCTGGTTCTGTGTGTTTGTCTACCTCTGTCTGGTTCTGTGAGTCTGTGCACCCACACAGGTGTCTGGTTCTGCATGTGTGTGTGCATGTGTCTGTTCTAGGTGTGTTCTGGTTCTTTATCTTTGCACGTGTGGTATTCTGTGTGCGTGTGCCTGGTTCTCTCTCTGCTCTCCTTTTTCTTTCTCTTCTCTCTCTCTCTCCTTTTTCTCTTATTTGTCTCTTATTTTCTCTCTCATTGCAACATGCTCAACAAAAAAGGAATACACAGCAACAAAGGCAACATTTAGGATGATTAAATATACTAATATGCAGTGCATTCTGCCATACCCCCCCCCCCATTTTGATTTTTTGGCTTGCCGGCACTCCGGCCCCTTCCAAGGAAGAAATTGGGGTTTTTTCAGCACTCACA